TTTAAATCCTCGATCTCGGGAATCGTTGCCAACACAGAATGTCTGTCTTCGTCTACATCCATCTCGACGCTTTGTTTACTGTTGTGCTGTTCCACAAAAGGGACACAGACAGACGCCACGAGTTTGACGTCATGACTTCACAGCTCTTCTCTGATTGGTCAGTGTATTCTGATTCCTGACCTAGTCCCTGGAGAGAAATTAAATTGAGCAGAGGCACTAGGTGGCAGCAGCCTGGCTAAATTTAAATCACAATATCAATAAAACACGACTTGATAAAAGATAAAAAGAGTGTGTAGATTTCTGGCTCAAAAACAGCTGTGCTCATTCACAAATGCCTTTTTACGTTTCAGCGCCGTAAACGTCTCAAAAACTCTTAAAGGTTGTATAGAAGATTTTCCAAGGAAAGAGAAATGCAGCGACTGTTTGTCCTTTTTTAAATGTTGCGCTTCGCACCTTTTCCCCTTCTCTTCTTCTTTCAGCAACGTCAAAAACTGACTTTCTTTTGCGGCGAACCGGTCGTGAATTCTTCTCTGCCATTAAAACAAAATTTGTGCAAACTGAGAGCTACAGTTCAAAAAAAGCCCAAGAACCGCTAAACATGAACCACGAACATAAACCACACAATCCCAGCGCGTCGGCAAGTCAGCGACGCTAGAAACGTCGGGAATTTGACTGACAACCTAACAGCCAATAGATAAAGAGGTAGCCTTGTTATCTATTGGCTGATGTTTATCTGCCCTCGCTACGTCCACAGTTGATGGATTTTCATTCTTTTTTTTTTTTTTGGTCATCATAATTACAAGGCTGCTTCTTCTTTATAATTCTATTTTGAACTTTCATTGACAATTTGAAAAAATATTTTTAAAAAATCCTCCATACAACCTTTAACAGGCATCTCTGTTTAACGTGATTTTCAAGTGCAAAAATCGATACATGTTCCTGCCAAATCCGACGTGTATCACCAATTTAAAACTAAATATATTGGGGGGTGAGGGAAATCCGTGTATCATTCATTCATTCGTTTTTCAATATAAAACCAAAAATAAGAAAACGAAAAAAACAACTATTTTCTTCACTATTTGTCTCCACTAGGTGGCACCAGCCTGGCTAAACTTTTTCGTGACCTAAAGTGAATTTTCCATGACTTTACAGCACCTACATGTGTAGAATTGATCAGACTTTTAGGGCTAAATATGAAATGTTAACTCTTTCCACTCACTTTATGGTTTGGGATTATAGTTTTTTAACATTCAAAATCCTGTCAGCGCGTTTATTGTCGTCTCTTTTAAACAAAACGCTGCACAGATGTTCAGAAATAATCATAACAGCCTCATGAGAACATAACAGAATGCTGGTAGCTGCGTGAAAGAGATACTAAAATTCCATGATTTTCTCCAGGATTTCCATGACCGTGGGAATGATAATCTAGGTGATATTTTTTTTTTTTATTTAAACAGTTGATTATTTGTTTAGAAAGCGAAAAGCCCCTTAACGTGAGATCCTTTACTTAAACTGTTCCTCAGATAAAACGATGTGAAGTCTCCGGAGGACGTCCTGATGGGAGCGCGTATTTACAAACACACTGAAAATGGCTTCCGGATCGCGGCGGTCGACTCATCTCCATTTCAAAACAGATGATGCTCAGATGACGGATTAACTCTGAAACCAGACTATTTCATCAAAAACACACAGAATGAACCCGTTTCTCTGTCATTTGTTTCTAATTACGGCTGCGTGAGTCATAAAAAAACCTCTCCTCTAAAGCTCAGGGTGTGTTTCAAGTCCATTTATAGACCAGTGAACCATTCATCTTTTACTAAAATTACTCAACCATTATTAGCTGCGAATTATCAATGAACTTGTTGCAGACCTACTTTTATTTGTCCTGCTTGTTTCCATGGAAATTTAGTTCCTTTGGCTATAATATTCCATGGAGAAAGTTCCAAAGTGTGATTTTAATTTTGGATTTCCGTGGAATCGTGCAGGTAACGTGCCAGCTCCAGAAAGTCACATACTGTGTCTTTAAAAGGTGCATTGTGTGACTTTTCTTTGTCTAGAATGTTCCGCAGTACGGCATTAAACCTTTCTATCTTCACGGAGACCAAACCAGACGAAGATACAGGTCAGATCTGTGGAGAGGCGACCCCGCTCCCAGTCAGAATGTTTGTTTTTCCAGGTATTTTTGAGCTTTAAATCCACCTGTAATTCAATAAAATGTCAAGTAGAGCTGTTTAATGTCACGCTGCGGAACATTCCAAGGCAGAGTAATGGCGTATCCATAGAAACAAGCAGGTGACGGATGCCCAAACAAAAAGTTACATAGTGAACCTTTAACAAATAATGTGAATAATAAAATTAGATAGGCCAAAAGTCAAACAGGGAAGGTTGATTCTAACGCAAATGGACTTATTGACCTGTCACAATCTCACTTTTTATTATCATATTTTGTTGTTTTATTTTGTGTATCACTGAAGTAAATACACACAATAAAAGATGCGACTGAAACTAACAATTGTCACTGACGCAAAAACCCCAGAGTAGATTTAGGGCCTGTTTACACAAGAACATTTGCGTGTAAAAACAACAAAATATTTTATCAGAAGTGCCTTTCGTTTAGACGGTGACGGTGTTTTTGGAGCTTAAAAACGCAAAAATCTGAAACCGCCCTCCAGAGTGGAAAAGTTGAACACGCTCCACCGTAGTGTTTCCGTCTAAACTGCCCAAGACGCAAAACTCTGGTCAGATCTGCTCACTTCGCATACGCGTTTACGTCACATACACACGGTACACACAAACCTGACATGCAAACACGATCGAATTCGCAGATTTCCTCCCCGAAAACTCTTGTCTAAACGCGGACTAAAAAGTGAAGATGCAACGCCACTTTTGCGTCATATAAATGTAGCGTTAAACCACAAAAAACTATTCAAAATGTACAAAAAAAAAAAGGGGTGGGGTTAAATAAGTATTTTCTTCCTCCCACTCCTTTTTCGGACACATTAAAATTCTGCGTAACATTTATTTAGCCTGTTATTATAGAATAGAAATAGTTACTTTTTGTGTTATATCTATGTATTTACGTTTTTGTCTTTTTTTTTATTATTTAGTTTTTGGTTTTTGTTTTTTAATTTATGTTCTATGTATTACTGTCCGAAATAAATAAACATAAACAAAAAAAAATACAATATTATTTACAAAAACATGAATAAACAGCAAAATGAAACACTTTAGTACTGAGTTTGCATCTGTAATGAGTCATGGAAGTTACGGATTCGACATTTTACAGCTCAAATCTGCTCATAAAACCAAAAAAATAACCAAAACATGTACAAGTAGAAAAAGAAAAAGTGCACACGATAAAAACTGAACCCCAAAAATTATGGTTCCGATGTAGTAATTATCATAACAGGCCTAAGACAGCGCCCTCTATAGAATAAAAGAAAGTATAGGAGTGTTTCCGTTAAGTCTGCAAATCATTCAGAAGTTGCCGATACGATAAATACACCGATACGATACATGAGCTTACTCTTCGATACGATTAAGTACGATATATTTCAAATTGATTCGATACAGTTCAATAAAAAATAAAGGCTAAATCATGACTACTAAAAGTCCACTTCCTGTGCAAAGTTCATACGAAACACAAACATTTTAATCCTCAAAACAGTGAAAATGTCAAATGTGTCGCATAAACGAACGGGCTGGATATTATTACGAAGTTGGAGATACGATACATACCTCGATACATAGGCCACGATACAATACACATCTCAATACGGGGCACTTTCGATACGATATATTTCAAATTGTTTTGATACTGTTCAATAAAAAAATAATGGGTAAATCATGTCTGTGATACTAAAAGTCTTCGTTAAACCACTTCTTGTGCAAAGTTCATATGAAACACAAACACTTTAATCATCAAAACAGTGAAAATGTCAAATGTGTCGCATAAACGAGTTTCCTTCCACTGAACAAACAACAAAACTGTAGCTGTAACAAAATTATTTGTAAAATATACAAAAAAAAAAAAAACTCTTGGTGATATATCAATACAGCAGCCCACGATATCGATACTGTATAATCATAATAAACAATACGATATATCGATAATTCAGCATTTTTGCACACCACTAGAAATGACATTATTATGATTGTTGATATTATTGCTATGATTATCTTTTTTTTTTGTAGTTTTATTTAGCATTGTTTGTATTTAATTATTTATATATTTATTATGTGTATATGGTTTATTTTGAGATTAGAATTTGTATAAAAAATGTTTTCTTGATGCTTAAAAAATAAAGTATTTTCTGGTGTATTTTACTAAATTATTTTGTTACAGCGTGACAGTTTTGTTGCTTAAACAAAGGAAGGAAACTCATTTATGTGACACATTCGACATTTTCACTGTTTTGATTAGTTTAAATTTTTTATATGAAGTATTATATGAACTTTGCACAAAATTTGGTTTAAAAAAAGACTTATTTTACTAAATTATTTTGTGTAAGAGCTACAGTTGTGTTGACATTTTCACTGTTTTGATGAGTAAAACTGGTGTTTTTCATATTAACTTTGTACAAACTTAGTGGATTTAAAAGACTTTTAGTATCACAGCCTTTGTTTTTCACTCAACAGTAGCGAATCGTTTTGAATTGAAAGTGCACTGTATCGAAAAACATATCGTATCGTGGCATATGTATCGTATCGGCAACTTCTTAATGACCCAACAGCCTCTCCACTCACCGTCCCACTGCTCTTACAGTTTGTATCAGCACTGACTTGAGTTTTCAGTAAGATCAAGACTCTGAAGCCGCTCCTCTGTGTAAAAGCGAGTGTTTTGGAGCAGAACTGTGCTGGTTGAAGTTTGGAGGAAGAAATCTAAACTTTTATGAGTCAAAAATCAACTGGCCTTAATACAAAGTTGAGTGAATAAAAAGTGAACCTGATCCACCTCGAGGGAAACGTCACCGTGACTAATAATAACTTCAGACACCAACCTTTAAAATGCTCATTCATCAGCAGTAATCCTCTGGAGCAGCAGCAGCAGCAGTAGTAGTAGTAGTAGTAGTTGTAGTAGTAGTAGTAGTAGTAGTAGTAGTAGTAGAAGTAGTAGTACAGTTCTAGTCTTGTACTGTAGTCAGTCCCAGTGTGTGTCAGGTTTGTCCTGTGTCTAAATGTGGACCATGAGCAGTGGGGAAACCCTCCTCCTCCTCCTCCCTCTGCTCTCTCTTTCCCTTCCCCTCTCTCTCTCTCTCTCTCTCTCTTCTGCCCTCCCTCCCTCCCTTCTCTCTATCTACTCCTCTCCACTCTCACTCTTACTCACTCTCTACTTTCTCTTCCTCTCTCTCACGCTCTCCTCGCTCTCTCTACTCCTCTCTTCTCTCCCTTATTCTTCTCTCTCCTCCCCTCCTTCTCTCTTTCCTCTCCCTCTCTCGCCTTCCTCAACTCTGTCCCTTCCCTTCCTCCCTCTCCTCTCCTCTACTCTCCCTTGCTCTTCTCTCTCTCCTCCCTCCTGTTCCTCCCTCTCTCTCTCTACTCCCCTCTACTCTCTCTCTCTTTACTGCCCTCCCTCTCTCCCCCTCCACTTTTTCTCTCCCTCTCTCTTCTTCTATCCTCCTCTTTCTCCTCTCCCTTGCTTTCCTCTCCCTCTCTCCTCCCTCTACTCTCTCCCTTCCCTCCCTCCCTCTCTCTCTCTCCTCCTCTCTAGTCTCTCATCTCCCTCTCTCTCTCACACACTCTCCTCACTCGCTCTACTCCTCTCTTCTCTCCCTTATTCTTCTCTCTTTCCTCTCCCTCTCTCTCCTTCCTCAACTCTGTCCCTTCCCTTCTCCTCTCCTCTACTCTCCCTTGCTCTTCTCTCTCTCCTCCCTCCTGTCCCTCCCTCTCTCTCTCTACTCCCCTCTACTCTCTCTCTCTTTACTGCCCTCCCTCTCTCCCCCTCCACTTTTTCTCTCCCTCTCTCCTCTTTCTCCTCTCCTTGCTTTCCTCTCCTCCTCTACTCTCTCTCCCTTCCCTCCTCTTCTCTCTCCTCTCTAGTCTCTCATCTCCCTCTCTCTCTCACACTCTCCTCGCTCTCTACTCCTCTCTTCTCTCCCTTATTCTTCTCTCTCCTCCCCTCTCCGTCTATCTCTCCCCTCTTCTCTCTCCCCTCCTTCTCTCTTTCCTCTCCCTCTCTCTCCTTCCTCAACTCTGTCCCTTCCCTCCCTCCCTCTCCTCTCCCTTGCTCTTCTCTCTCTCCTCCCTCCTGTCCTTCCCTCTCTCTCCTCTTTCTCTCTCTCTCTACTCCTCTCTCTCCCTCTCTTCTATTTACTGCCCTCCCTCTCTCCCTCTCTCTTCTTCTATCCTCCACGCTCTCCACTCCCTTTCTCTCCTCCCTCTACATCTCTCTCTCTCTTCTATTCTCCCTCTATCCTCCTCTCTAGTCTCTCATCTCCCTCTCTTGCTCTCTCTCTCTCTCTCTCTTCTGCCCTCCCCTCCCTTCTCTATCTACTCCTCTCCACTCTCAAATCCTCTACTTTCTCTTCCGTTCTCTCTCTCACTCTCTCTACTCCTCTCTCCTCTCTCTCTCCTCTTCCTTCTTCTCTCTCTCTCCTTGCCCTTTCCTCTCTCCCTCCCTCCCTTTCTTCTCTCTCCCCTCACTCAACTCTTTACTCTCCCTCTCTCTTCTTCCTCACCTCTCCCCTCTCCTCCCTCTACTCTCTCCCGTCCTTCTCTCTCCTTCCTCAACTCTGTCCCTTCCCTCTCTCTCTCCTCTACTCCCGTCCATTTCTCTCTCTCTCTCTCCCCTTTCTCTCTATCTCCTCTCTCTCCCCTTTCTTTCTCTCTCCTCTCTCTCTCTCTCCCCTCTATTCTCTCCTCCCTTTTTACTGCCCTCCCTCTCTCCCTCTCCACTTTCTCTCCATCTCTCTTCTTCTATCCTCCTCTCATCTCCCTCCCTTGCTCTCTCTCCTCTCTCCCTCAATCCTCCTTCTCTTCTCCTCCTGTCCTCCCTCTCTCCCCCTTTCTCTCTCTCTCTCTCCTCCCTCTCTCCTCTATTCTCCCTCTACCCTCCTCTCTCTCTACTCCCCTCTACTCTCATCTCCCTCTCCCCCTCCCTCTATCCTCCTCTTTCCTCTCCCTTGCTCTTCTCATCCTCTCTCTCTCCTCCCTCCAGTCCCTCCCTCTCCTTTCTCTTTCTCTCCTCTACTCCCCCTCTATTCTCTCATCTCCCTCTCTCTCCCTCTACTCCTGTGCCCTCCCTCTCTCCTCCTCCTTCTCTCCATCACCTAATTTCTTCTCTCTCTCCTCTCCTTTCACTCTCTCCCCTCTCTCTTTGCTCCCCTCTCCCTCCTCTCCTCTCTCTCTTGTCCTCTGCTCTCCCTCACTCACTCCATCCCTCTCTCTTTTCCTCTCTCTCTCCTCCTCTTCCTCTCCTTTCCTCTCTCTCTCTCTCTCTCTTCTCTTTTCCCTCTCTCTCTCCTCCTCCTCCTCCTCTCTTCCTCCTCTTCCCTCTCTTCTCTCTCTCTCTTCTGTCTCACTCCTGACCGTCCCAGCTCCACCTCGTCCTCCCCCTCACCCCAAAACATGCACAGCTCCCCCTGGTGGAGAGCAGAGGAAACGACTTTCATGGCTGAGGACATATTGAAAACATTTTTTAAAAAGTTGTTTTTGAAGAAAAGCTAAATTAAAACATCGAGTGCATCGTCTATAATTAAAACTATTAAAAATATCAGCGCCTCGACCAAGACACATTTACACACACGTTTTAGCTCAATCGAATGGAAAACATACTGATTCTTCGCAGTGACATAACGCTGGGGGGTGTTCTACATGTGCCTCTGTGGTGGAATGTTCAGCTGTTACCATAGCGACACAACGCACACATTTGCAAACACAGACAAAAAGCTTAAAGATGGTCTGAAAACTCAAGAAAAAAAACAAACAAAATGGATTTAAAGAGCAGGTTTTCAGGATTGGTCTGAGCGAGTTTGAACCTGAAAAACTGTTGTCGTTCCAGCTCCATCGGTTCTTTTCGGGTCAAATTGTGTTAAATAAAGCTCAAATTAAAGTCTGACAAAGCCTCAGACAGAGCAGTGCCTCCAGTTAGAATCGAAATCCTCAGAAAATGTTCATGAAATCAGCTGCAAAGTGTCAATCATCTAGATTATGCAAAAACAGATGAAAATTTTTTTCCACTTAGGGATCGAACAATAACTGAAATATCGTGATATCGTATCGTCAAAGATCTGGAAATAATATGTGGGTCGTCACAATTAGGGCCGGGTATCATTAAGGGTCGCCGATACGATACGATACATACTTCGATACAGCGCACTTTCGGTTCAATACGATATATTTCAAATCGATTTTAAAGGCTAAATCATGACTCTGATACTAAAAGTCTTTGTTAAATCACTTTTTGCGCAAAGTTCATATGAAACACAAACATTTTAATCATCAAAACAGTAAAAATGTCAAATGTGTCACATCAACGAGTTTCCTTCCTCTGAACAAACAAAACTATTTAGTAAAACAAACCGAAAAAACACTCTTGGTGATATATCGATACAGCAGCCCACGGTATCGATACTGTATCACATCACATTATCCAACGATATCAAAGCCTCACGATACGATATCCTCACGGTACGATATTTACTGCGATATCGTGGGAAAGCTCACGATTATGAATAATATTTCGATTTATTGTGATATTTTGTGGAGGCAACAAAACTATGAATACAATACTTTTTCCTCTTAAAATGCCTTGACAAGATTTAATCCAAAGAACTAAGACTTAAAAGTGTTAGAACTGTTATTTCTTCTTGTCTGCACTGAAATGGAGCAAAGGATCATGGTCTATGTAGTTCTCTGTCTTTTTTTTAAACTATTACTGCACCATAACTCTTCATTTAAGCCAAGAGACTTGTAATTCGATATATTGTGATGGTCCACGATATTACTGTGAGAAGTTTAACTCTTTCCCCCATGAAGACGACATTTGACGACCCCCCTGAACCCTTAATGACGACTTTTGACTCCTCCGCTGTTTCACTAAAGACGTGATTTGACGACCTTTAGAAATGGCTCAGTTTTTCACATTTAAACAGAGACTGTGATCGGTCGGGGCCACTACAACCCACACTAGACTGACCAATAGGATTCAAGGATATGTTTTCGACGATTTTTTCCGAAGTTAATCGAAATAGTGACGATGGTAGCTTCCGGAAAAAACACAACACGAAACACGTGCAATGGAAAGATCGCGGCGCTGCGGCGCACAGTTTTAGAAATAATGAGGATCGGACGTATTTTATGGATAAGTTTAGAGAAAGTGACTTTTATAGATTTCAAAGTGATGATGTTGAAGTTGATTATAAAGTGGGAAAACAGCGATAGCGACGGACTTTCGGGAGAAGGTGAGAATGTCACTGATGCGTCTGTGTGGAGTCCTGCGATGTCCCAACAAACTATCTGAGCTTTTATACTCGATTATGAACCAAAATTGCCCTGAAATCTGGATGTTGCTCAGGCCAGTCCTTTAAAATATTTCAGTCTTTTTTCCCCAAGATGAGATGTATAACAGAATCACTACAGAAAAAACGCTTAGTATGCAGAGCTCTGCACACGAGAAAATAGCCAAGATGACAAATACTGGACCCACTGACGGGGAAGAGTTTTATTATTATATTATAATATTATAGCTAAATTAGTTAATAAGCTAAATGAGTTGAATAAATAAAATAAGTTGAATAAGTTAAATGAGTTGAATAAGGTGAACAACAGGTAAAAACAGGTGCACACTTGGCTGTACTGTATCTGGTGATATGAAATCTGTTTAAATACTTTGACAAAGTATATATATATATATTTTTTTATGAATACAGTACTCAGAACATGTATAGATCAAATGCTGAATGTAGTTTTTTGTTTTTGAGTTTGCACCTGACCAGGTAAACTCTCATTTTCATTGAGCTGTTATAAACCTGTAAATGAGTTGAATCACATTTAAACATCCATAAATGAATAGTTCAGAGTCTAAGGTTTCCAGAGATACAAATATGTCTGTGTTACAATTAAGTTCATGAGTGTAAAAATCATTTATAATCACTCGTGGAAGTCTGTTTTCTTTTATGCAGTGATGCTCTATGGGTAGAACTAGTAACACATTGTATGGGTTGTTCCTAGTCGG